AAGAAGAAGTTTCATGCCAAGGCACCTTTCGTCGCTATTTGTGCCCTTCCGGCCTGCATTGGAGACCTTCGTGTTTTGCATTCCTGTTCTCCCTCAGGCTGCTGAGCAACAATCAGCTCACGGGCCCCATACCTCCTGGCATTGACGCACTCACAAAATTGGTGGATCTGTAAGACATGGCATCCCTCCCTTGTGGCTATCCTCTTGCTCAGCCTAACATTTCTCACAAGCACAACCATTCCCGAGTTAATTTGCTCACAATACGTAATTGTCGTTCTCGTATCAGTTCCCTGCCTTCTTCCCTCTAAAGTGTCATCGCCATTCGTACCCTGAGTCAACATTGGCTGTTCCACCCATTGCTGCCTTTGGCAAATCTCGCAACCACCAGATCGCTCGATAACAACCAGCTCTCTGGGCCCATCCCTGCCTCCATTGGCTCCCTCAAAGGCATCACAAATCTGTGCGCTACACGTTTCCCTCCTTTTGCTAACCAACTGGGATATAAGGGCATGTTTGATTTGGTGGGTCGGCGCATCCATATCCCCCATGACTGAACATTTAGCCGATATCTCCCAACGCCTCTGGCCCATTTTAGTGGCCTAGGAGCAACAGTCCCCCACAATGAGAGATGGTGCCAATTGAGAGAATCGAACCCCAGACTGCTCAGTGAGGAAGTTTCTCTCCAAGACAAACTTTCTCCTTTTCCAATCTCTTTGCCGTCCTCCTATGCTGCAGGGGCCTTCGTTCCATCAAGCTCACTGGCTCCATTCCACCCTCAATAGCCTCACTGAACCTGATAAATGCCCTGTAAATTCCGTGGCACCGCTGTGGCTCTGTCACTGCCAATCTGCCACTATTTCTCAACGCCCTGTGGGTGCCGTTTCTCCACTGTTACTCTATCATTCATAATCAGCCTCTGCTGCTGCTGTGACTTTCCACTGCTGCTGGTTCTCCAAGCACCACAGCCATCAAGACTCACTCCTTTGTTTCAAGAGCTTTATGGGCCGTGTTTGAAGACTTCCAAAAATCGACGCTACCTCGGAATCCTTTCCCTCTCCAACCTCCACTGTCTCTGCTGTTCCCCCAGTGACCTGAGCTCCAACCAACTGTCCGGTCCCATCCCCACGGAGATTGGGGCCATGGTCGCCCTCACCAGGCTGTCAGTCGCTCTCCATCTTAGCTTCTGAAACCTTTCTCTTCCTGATTTTTCCCCACCGTTGCCTGCGCTAGCATTTTGTTTGTATCCCTAGCTTTCCTAGGCTATGCAAACCAGCTTAATGCAGCGTGCATGCTTCATCCCACCTCTTCTGTTCTCCCTCCATTTCTCTCTGTCCAAGCCTGTTTTCTACCTTCAATTCTGCCTCTCTCGCAGTGATCTTTCGGACAACAATCTTACATACAGTATCCCTGCTTCCTTGGGTGGACTCAATAAGCTGGAGTTCCTGTGAGCTTCATTCACACTATGTGCATTCGTGGTACATGTTGAGCACACTAAACTCGACTTCTTATAATGAACGTTCCAGAAGTACCAGTCCATACCTTTCGAAAATCTGACAAGGCATACAATTCTAGATATCTTTTTAGTTCACTAACTTGATCCACACTTTTCCAATTTCCAGTCCTAGCCACCTTTGCATCCAAACCGTGAAGCACTATCTGCTACCACAACGTTGTATATATTGCCATGCACGCATGGTCCTAGTCTTGGTTTTTCCATACATCTTGGGTGCTTCACACGTGTGTTTTCAAGTGCTTCATGTATATTTATGGTACTCTGCCTCTCCAATTTCTCAGATCATTACGCAAGAATATGTTTACTGGAGAGATCCCTAATGCACTTGGCTCGCTTAAGACACTGTTAGCTCTGTAAGTATCTTCCAGAGTATTAGAATGTATTCTTGCGTTCCACATCTTTCCCTTGGGTGTTCAGCTGGTCACTTGTGCTCGACCTGCCACTTCCCGCGAATTGGTTCAATTCTGCTCCGTTGACTGAACTTTATTCTGAATTTTTTTCCTTCCTCTGTACTGTGCCCTTATTCTCCTGTTACATCCATTGCAACCCATATTGTTATTCTTGCTTTCATGCAATTTACACATGGTAACATTGAATGTCCACCTTTTGAGAGATGGATTCCAATGTCGCATCTTGTTTGCATTTGCCATTTATTTTTTTACGCACTTGTGCCTTCCCCTTCTTTCCTCAGTGACCTTTCTTCCAACCAGCTTTCAGGCACCATCCCTTCCAGCTTCAGCGACTTTTGTAGATTAGAATTCTTGTGAGTGCAGGCACATGAACCCCTTGAATATGTACCATCTTAACAAACGCTCACATAATCCTACTCAATACTGGTAGGATTCTATGTGAAGACAAGAAACCTGCACTGCAGGACTGATTTGTATGTTTCTGTTTCAATACATCCTAAAACACTTCTCACAAGAATATATGCCATCTCTTAACAATGGTGTACAAAGCGATAAAAACCAACCATGTTAATGTATCTATGTTATAAACGTTGCGGTTCCTGATACTGGCTTGTTGACTTGAAAACAAGTAGTGCCTTGCGCCACAGGTAGTAATGCGTACCTAATATTCTCCCTTATATGACCTGTCTAAAATCACAGGTATCTCTACAAGAATCTTCTGTCTGGAAATATTCCTACCAGCATGGGTACCTTGACGTCTTTAATATCTCTGTAAGGCTTCTCACCCTTCTGGCCATCTATATGCTGTGTCCCTTGCTCATGACGAATCGAAGCTCTTGTATGAATGAATCGACCCAATGCCTCCAAATCACACAGAAACCTCATGTGTTTCGGCAATGTATCATGCTTATGACCTTTGGTTTCCCACGTCACACTACTGATCCCCCCACTTTCCTAACCTCCCACCTTCCCATCTGCCCGCCCTCCACCTTACTCCACACCTTTCCTTGCTGTCAACAGTTCTCTTGACTCCAACAAGCTGTCAGGTTTGGTGCCCTCCTCTCTAACAAAGCTTAGAGGAATCACAAGCCTGTAAGCTCATACAAGGAAGCAGGTATCATAGTTTTCCACTCCGTAGGTCGAAAATTCTCAATGTAACAATAACCGACCTTCTGGGTATTTGGAGGCATGCACGCCCCTTTGTTTCCAGCCCGCTGCCTCCTGCTTGGCAGTTGCGTCCTTAGTTCGCCGCAGGCTTGTTTAATCAGGATGTGAAATCTACAAAATTGTATCATTTGAGAGCTGTTTCTGAAGTTTCGCACTTGAATTTATCTCCCTTTTTTTCCCACAATACTCCCTTGCTTTTCCCAGGGTTCATGACAAAAATCAACTCACTGGCTCTATCCCGTCAGGCATAAGCTCTCTCACAAATCTCGTAGTCATGTATGCCCCTCACCTTCTTCTCATGCACACACCGTCCAGCTCTTCTCTTCCCTCCTAAATCATGAATTCTCGCAATTTTCACTCCCACCATGAACCTCTCAGAAGTATTTGTGTATCCAGCCACCACCAAGACATGAAGAACACGAGCCAATCAAAGGCACACTTCTTACCACTGCTTTCCAAAGTGATGGCCGATCTATATCCCCCCCCTCCCTTCTACTCTAATCAGAGCCTTGTCTCGCAACCATCTCGTTGGATCCATCCCTGAATCCATTGGCGCCCTCTCCAAAATATCTATCATGTAATCCTCACCAGAATGTCCCCCTTGAATTGCTCTTAAGCGTATGTGCTGTGTACTGCTCACTTCCATTTCGTGACTTGCAAGCTGCTTTTTTGTTCAACAAATTGCCCGTGCGTTCTCATCTTCATAAGTATTTCCCTCGTGCCTGTTTCTTTTCAGTGGACTCAAGTGCAATCTTCTCACTGGAAGTATTCCTGTGGCCATAGGGGACCTTTCCCAGCTGGGTTACTTATAAGCCAAGACACGTCATAATCCCAACATCTCACCTCTTTCCCATGCACACGCACCACTGAATGTCGCATCGCATTTCACGCATGTGTGCTCTTTTCTTGCTGCAGGATACATGTATTCCATTCCATCCATGGCTAAGAAGCCAGGCCTATGTGCTCTCCTCAGTACTTATCAAACACTGCATTGCTGTTCATCGAAGTAACTTACCTGTCTAGCATACTATCCAGGTTTTTTTGTTTTTCAACCTTGATGCTGCATGCTTCTACGACATTTTTTGCCCCAGGTCGCTTGCTTCCAACCAGCTGTATGGTCGCATCCCGAGCACGTTCACCAAGCTCACAACCCTCACCTACCTGTAAGCCACATGCCATGCGCACCACCTCCTGTAGTTCTGATTATGGACCCATTATATAACTATGCATACGTACATTGATCTCTCAACCTGCAAGCTGTGAGCTTCAAGAACGCTGGAAAGACGTGGTTGTGTAGGGTACATACAGCTACTTGCATCAACCGCCTTAAAACCTCCTCTACTGTTCATCCTGTTAATAAGTATGGAATTTGGATCGAAGTTTTGCATAGCACGGCCTTACACATTGCAGCGGTCATTTATTTGGATACCTTGGTGATGTGATTAGATACAATACATCAACCAGTTTACCAAGGTAAGAAGCTGAATGAACGCCGTCCAGACGTGTATTCCGTCATCACTCCCTTAAACCTCATCCTCCTCAACTCCTAAGTTCCGAATCCTTTGCATGGAATCTCCCTTCCTCTTCCCCAACCCTCGCCCTCCCGTCCCAGCGACCTCTCCCTCAACAACCTCACAGGCCCCATCACGCTGCCTGCCATCAGCAGCCTGCGTGTCTCCAGCAACTCCTTCTCTGGTCCTCTGCCGGACGGGGCCTGCCAGGCTCGCAACTTCGATGCCAACTGCTTCACACTGCCCTCTGACTGCTCCCTGGTGGTGCAGCGAGTGGAAGCAGCATGCAATGCGTTCTGTGTGATCTCCTCTGATGGGACTTCAACCTCTGCTGGTGCAAGTGCTGCTGCTACTGCTGCTTGTGGTGGTAGAGGCATATGCTCTCCAGACTGGATCAGCATGTCTACGAGCTGCTTGTGCGATGCAGGATTCATCAAGTCTGGAAGAACCACCTGCATTTCAGAAGGTACGCTCCCCAAAAGAGATAATTACAATAGTAATAATAATAATAATAGTATACATAATCAGACCAGACTACGTGCCTTTGGTCATTTGCGCAAATTTTGCAAAACCATTTGTAATCTCACTAGAGTTTTCCTGTACAGTTCCATAAGCACAAGGCACAGCGACTAGACTGCCCATCCTATCTGAACCTTGGCACCGTTTTCTTTACCGAATGGTCCACGTACCTGTTTGAAGGGTCCTCACCTCTTGACTGGGGTTTTCCACTTCCATCCTCACCCTCGACTGCCTTCCATGAATTCAGGCGTAGTAAGCAGCTATTCAATCAGCCAGCCAATCGTCCCACCCACAACTATGCTCACCAAGGGGACAGTGAAGGAGTCGGGGGGGAAATTCACCACAGCTCCGGTGACGCTGTTTGTGTACGAGGCAGGGCAGGCAGTGCAACTGGCCTTCCAAGTCAACTTCACCTTCACGCTCTCGCCCCAATCGGGCCGCACGGGCAGTGGAGGCTTCGCCTTTGTCATCTCGGCAACGGATAAGGTGGGGAGTGGATCCGGCGTGGGGTATAGTGGAATGGACAGCCAGAGCATAGCGGTTGAATTCGACACTCTGCAGGACAAGCAGCAGGGGGACATGCCCCGCCAGCACGTGGGGTTGAACATTCAAGGCCATGCCAGGTCGGTAGCTGCTGTGAAGGCACCATTTACTCTGAACAACAGGAAGCCGTACACGGCATGGGTGGACTATGAGCCTGGGGAGCCTGGCACCATCCAAGTGTTCCTGGCTGCTTCGGAGGTGAAGCCAAAGCAGCCGCTGCTAGAAAGGAGGATGGCGCTGTGTGAGGTGCTGCAGGCTGGAGCGGAGCAGCAGGAATTCTTCTTTGGCTTTGTCGCGGCCACTGTGAAGCCGTTCCAGATGCATGTCATCCTCAAGTTGGCAATGCACACAAGTAATGATAGCACTGTGGTGGTCCAATGATTGTAGTGATGGTGGTGCTGGTGCCGGTGCTATTGCTAATGCTGGTGCTGCTGCTGCTGCTGGTGCTGGTGCTGGTGCTGGTGCTGGTGGTGGTGGTGGTGGTGGTGGCGGCGGCGGCGGCGTTGGCGGTGGCGGCAACGGCGGCGGCGGCGGGGCCAGCAGCGGCGGCGGCGGTGGTGGTGATGGTGGTGGTGGTGGTGGTGGTGGTGGTGATAGGCTGATGCTGATTCAGATATCACATGCATTGGTGCTACTATCCCAGTAGCTTAAACCTATTTTTTCAGCTGCCTCAAGGTTAGTTCGTGGTGTCTAATATACAGTGCCACAAGTGAAACTATATGAAATTGTTCAGCCCATTGAACGCTTGTTATCTCTCTATGCTCTCGACCATTTCCCATTACTTTATGGTGTTGCTCATGTGTGCCAATTTTTCAGGTCTTCCTGCTGTACACAATCCATTGGGTATCATTCCAGGTGAGCAGCCTACTTTTCCGTTGCATCAACGACAAATAAACTACTCGTTGTCATATCGTCAATCTCCCCCTCCGTGTTCCTCTTTCAAGAACCCTGGTGTCTGTATGTTACACAGCATTCACGCACTCTGTTCCCCAATCTTTCTCCCCAATGTACCGGTTAGATTGAACACGTATATGTACAACCCATCCCTCCCCATTTCAACAACTACTTCCTCTGCCCCGACCCACCTTGCCCATCTCAGCCTTAGGCCTGCGCATCTCTGTGGCGTCATATGCGCCAGTGGGGGCCAACCCCTTCATGCGCTACATGAGTGCGGACTACCAAGTGTCGACCAACAAGCCCAATGAATGGCACATCAGCAGCTCCCACTCCTGAGACTCCATGTCTTTCCTCGGCTGGCCTGTGAAGAACCAGAAGAACTGCAGTGAGTGGGCATAGTTAGAATGAATAGCGGGTACAAGGGAAGTTAGACTTGTCCACAGCACAGATGCTGTGGTGTGTTGAAATTAGTAGTAGTAGTAGTTTGTTTGTTTGTTTGTTTGTTTGTTTGTTTTTTTTTTTTTTTTTTTTTTTTGCCGAAAAAGGGAGGCATGTTAAAACCCCTGTTCGTTTCCCCTGTCTTCGTCTTTCAAAACACTACCGTGTTCCAGATGCGAGTTGGGCATATGCGGTGGTGGCAAGTGTGGAGGCGGCATATGGCATTGCACTGAACCGAGAGGCTCCACGGCTGTCAGTGGACTCGCTCTTTGCAGCCATGGGGCTCACCTCCCCTGCTGCCAAGTGCACCAGAGGGAACTCCCCTGCTGCGGCCTTTCAAAAGCTCCTCACTTTGCGGCGGCCACGTCGTGGAGCCCGAAAGCCAAGAAGTTCGGTAAGAAAGGTGTTCGAGAATCCATGCAACCCAGCAAGCGCATTCACAATCATTGGTACAAGGTAAGCCATGTTGAATCACTTCCTTTTTTGCAATCCCTCATGTCTCTTTTCTTCTGTATTGTCTTGTCTGTACTATTAATCTAATCCAACTTCTTATTGATGGTCCGAACACTTGGGTTATCTCCCACCTATCTCTTTGTTCTGACCTGCAGATATCAAGGTTTCCCATCCGGGGTGTTGAGCGCACACGGTTCAAGGGGTATATGGGGCTGATGCTGGCAGTGCGGCGGCAGCCAGTGGTGGTTCAAATCGAAGCCTCTGCCTCCACATTTGTACAATATGATGGGGTAAGTGCAGATCACGTTATTATGTGATGTGCGTGATCATGTGGTTGGAAAATCCTTATAGCCATCTAGTAGAGGCATTGATGCCTTATGTGGTTGTTAACTATTCACGAACATGTATGACCTTCTCAGGATCTTACATTAGGAAACTAATGCTTGTGGCCTAATGCATGATGTTGTATTTATAACGTTATTTTTTATCTTTATCCCTTTCTTGCCCAGAGTTTCAAGTACCAAGATCCAGTCTGCTACACTGGCAACCTGAACCATGCTGTACTCGTTGTAGGGTACCTCATTTCAACAATTGTTGGCAGTGACAGCCTCAGTGTTCCACCGTTTTGGATCGTCCGCAACTCGTGGGGAGTGGAGCGGGGCGACAGGGGCCACATGCGCATGGACATTCAGGGAGGGGATGGCGTGTGTGGCATCAACGTGCTGCCTGGCATCTACCCCATTGTCAAGAGTGAGGCGTCTACCCCGTTGTCATGAGTGAGGGAACTAGTTGTTGTTCAGAGTGAAGACTGCACCCATTGTCAAACAAGTACACATGATTGTGCACACACATTCACACTTCTCAGAGCAATTCACGTCTGCCATACTACTTGCGTGTCCCCTCCACAAACCCTCCAGTTTCCAAGGATCTTTGCGGCCAAAGGAGCTACAAGGGTGTCGGGGACTTGCAGCCAAGCATGAACCCGTGTGGTCGCTTCACATGCAAGGCAAACGCAAAGACCAAGAGGAACACCTGCAACTGCACCATACCTAATCAGGCCATACAGCCCTTTGTTGCGGTGGCAAACGGATTGGGCTCCCGCACATGCGCATATGGTGAGTCATGGTTATGACCAAACAATTCCACTGAAATTAACCGTTTGGAGGTTTTCATAGATGCAGATGCACCCATGGCATGTTTCTGCAAGTCCACCTTTTCTGTCAGCATCCATTACATCGTATCTTTCACCACCCATGTTCACCCCCTGTCATCAACCCAACAGTTGACGTGTGCAGTTCTTACGCTATGAACCCCTGTGGTGTGGGCACGTGCGTGAATGATGGCAAGGGCGCCTACTCCTGCATCTGCCCTCCCAACTACATTAAGAGCACGACTGTTGACAACTCCACCTGTGATCCTTGTACGCCAATCTAGCCTCACTCACTCATATGGCCCTCTTGACTGATCCGTACATTTGATAGAGTATTATAGGCTGGTTGCTATCCCAGCAACAGCAAGATGGACTTTGGGATTGTGCATGTCAACAATCTTTCAGTTTCAGTGTAGCATCACCAAGTCATGGGAACCTTCTTGGCACCATCTAATCCGTGTGTGTCTCCTTTTCTCCCTCCAGCCAACACCACATCAACTACTTTGACAGTCACTGGTGCTAACTGGTGGTGCTCTGACGTCCTTCCTGCGACCGGCCTTTCCTTCGCTAGCCTCCCACAGAAAACCGTGGTGAGAAACAGCTGACCCTTTCACCCTAGTGTATGAATTTGCGTTTGTTGGAAGGTTATCTAGCGCTCTGGGGAACAGTCTACAAACAGGTACCATCCTCTATGTGGAAAGTAAATTTCCAAAAACAAACATCCTCTCGCATGCATGCAAAAAAAAAATAATAATAATCAATTTTACACTGCAGGGAAATGGATATGGTAATAGGAGGTTGACTATGGACTATGGAGACGTAGAAGGTAGACGTAAACGTGAGCCAGGCTAGGACCCGGCCCAGCTAAAGCCAGCCCTGGTTTCTAATGGGCTTGGCCAACTTTTCTGACTGTTCGGACCATGGTGGGCCAGCCCCAAGCCAAGCCCTGTGGTCCCGGGGGTGTCCCTTCCCTTCATGAAATTTGATGTGTTCTCTCATCCAGCAACCCATTGTTTAGGTCTCTCCACCTGCCTACTATCCTAGCCATCGAATTGGATGTCAGCTGTCCCTCGGTTGTCCTCAGGCCTTGTCTGAGTCACCAATAGGGTGGCCACAAGTGGCCTTTCCTCATTGGTCGGGCCACAAGTAGTCTATCCTTATTTCTCACGCCGTGGCCAAACTTTATCACATTCTCAGGACAACCCCAGCCAAGTTCCAGCATATGCTCATTCATAGGATGTACGGATGGATAGTAGCATACATTTACATAGAACAAGGAACCCTCCTATGTATTGCAGGCCGTCGATTGCAGCCAACCATTGCCTAAAGGCAAGGTGATTCAGTTGGGCAGCACTACCACAACTCCCTGCACGGCCTTCTTCTATACAATCAATGTGAGTCGCCGTTTGTAAACGGAGATTCACCTTGTTAAAGCTGTTTTGTTGTTTGTTTGTGTTTTTTTTTTAATAAACACGTATCCGTCTAAAACTATGCAAGAAAGGCCACCCTTCTACCACCCATCTCCGACCAACACCACGGAACCCACCTGCAATGAACAGCATCACTTGTTTTCTTGGAAGATCTTGTCTCAATGCACCTTTTCCCTTCCACAAGCACTCCTCCGCTCTCTCTCGCCCTCTGTCTCTTCCAGGGTGACAGCTGCTCGTCTATCAGCACCCAGCTTGGAATCTCATCAACTGATCTTATCTCTCTCAATCCCAGCCTCGACTGTTCCGAGGCCATCAAGGCAGGCCACTCTCTGTGCCTCGAGCGCAACGCCACCTTTGCGTTCACCACCCCTAAGTGCTTGCAATACGGCATGCTCACAGCACAGGGCACATGCGAGGGCCTTCTGCAGCAAGCCTTGGAGTCTAGTGAGGAGGAACCCCATGGGCTGGTAGTGGTAACTGCAGCTAGCTGGGTTGAGCTCTACCGCAACAATCCTGGCCTCATCTGTCCCCGCACAGTTCCTCCATCCAGCACCACTGTTGGCAGTGGTAACACCGTGCAGGTGAGGTTCGGAGAACAAGGGCATTTGGGTTATAGCAATGCAATGTGTATTTGCATGAGACTTCTATTCTTGTTTTCCAACTTTGTTCTTTTGTCCACACTGTGCATGCAACTTCTATCCCAGGTGTGCCTCATGGCAGATTACGAGTCCCTGAATGCGCACAGCTGCAAGAAGGGTAGGGTCAAGCCAGTGTCACCATCTCTGACATGTGGGGGAGCTTTAAACTTCTACGGTGGAGCTAAGCCAGGAGCGGTCACAAATTTCAATGATTACAATGGAAAGCCATGCTCGGGAACTGTAGGTCTGGAGTATCTTTGCATTCCGTAGTCAGGTATTTGTGTTTTTAAGGCGGTTAGATAATTAATTGTTTTTGTTGACATGCATTAGGGGAGCTTTCGTAGGAAAATGGGCCATAGCTTGGCGATCCTACATTGTGACCACCCTAGTATATAACACCCACGGTATTGCGTTCTGTCTAAGCAAGGAGATATAGTATGCTTATAAGTAAGTTCCTATGGCCCCTTACAAGATCAACCTCATAAGTATCAGACTTCCGAAAATCACCTTAATTCATGTCAAATGTTTGTACCATTTTAGATAGGCTGCAGTGAGGTAGTTCTTATTGGGTACATGATTTCTCTCGACCTTCATTACTTGTACCCAATGCTTCCTAGTAACATCATCCTCCCACCTAACTTACTTCCTTAGCTTCTTAGACTTCATCACAAAAATGTGTGCATCTGGAAAGCATCTGACCATTTTTTTTATCCCAGTGTTTTAAAAATGTTTGACAATCATCCATAAATCATCAACATATCGTACGTAAAGCCTTTTTGTCGAGGCAAATGATTTGTGTATGTTTTTGTAATGGTTTAGCAATGTGTGAATAGTTTGTTTGTCAAATGTTATATGTCAAAACAATAATAAGGTTGCATAAATGTGGGTTTCACAATCAAGATGCCTTATCGTTTAGCGACATGGTTGCAATTTTGTATGCATCACCAGATGAACCTATTGAGCAGCTTCACATCAGAGTCTTTGCAGCACGGGACAACATGTACGATGCTAAGAATGCAATCTGCATCTACAACAGCATAGTTGTAGGTGCCCTTCGTGGGCAACAGTCGCTTGCAGCTAGTGTACCGGTAGACAATGCGATGAGATCCAATCTCCAAAATTGCTCTGCGGAAACTCCAACCAAACTTCTGCCGAACGTTTTCACCTGGGAGGTTTGAACAGAGAAGCATCGCAGAAACATGTGAAAAGCGTTCGACAAAGCATCCAGAAAAAGATCTATACTTTCTCAAAAAAAGCGTACCAAACAAGACGTTTATAAGCATTTGACAAAGCTCCAAAGCAACTCTTTCCAGAGGATTTCTGGACGCAGGATTTTTGTGATGTTTAAGATGGTATCAGCTACGTCGCTCCTAGGTCCTAGCCTCGTGTCGCCCCGTGACGCCTCGTTCCGCTCCGTGACGCCCTAAATCGCCTCGTTCCTCGCTGTCTTACGCTTCCCGCGCTACCCCATGCTCCTTGCTTTGCCCTTCCTGAACGGCCCGCGCACACGCGTGCGGAGATAACTCTAGCAACGGGAGCTTGAGTACAGAGAAGGCACGTGTGTGAGAGGGATCTCTGCGTTCGTTCCTTAGTCGTTTGCTTGTGTGTTCTCTGCTTGCACATTCATGGGGAGATTTTGCAAGAGTTTCACTAGCAAAGATTGACAACAAAGGTTCAGAATGATAGCAACAACATTGGCATGCATCACTACATCAGAGCTAGCACAGCTGCTGGTCGACCTCCAGCGCAGCACGGTCGACCGCGTTCCAGCGCAGCAATGCTCGCACCGCTCCAGCGCTGCAGAGATGCGGCGCGCCAATGTTGCAAGTCCACGGTGTGCCAACGCTGCAGCAAGTCGGCTGCACAGCGTTGCACCCGCAGGACAACGGTGCACCTGCTTCGCAGGTGTGCGCGGCTGGTTGGCGTCCAACTCCCCGTCACGTGCCCAGCGCAGACATTCCCACCTGTGACGGCGCCCATCAGCCACGTCGACCTCGGGATACCACCCCCGAGGTCGTCCTCGCAGAAACGTTCCCCGGCGACCTTCGCACACGTCGCCCGGGTATCCCGGTCGACCGGGCAACCCTGCCTGGTCGTCCAGCCTAGTCGGGCGTCGGCTACGCCAAGCCCGGCGTCCCCAGGTCGGCGTCCTGGCGTCCTGGTCGGCGTCCACTCGCCCAGGACGCTGTCAAGACGCCCTGGTCGGCGTCCAGGCACCCGGGACGCCGAGCAGACCATCAGGTCGGCGTCCAGCCTCCCCGGACACCGGGTAGACGCCTAGGACGGCGTCCAGGCGCCCAGGACGCCGAGCAGACGCCCAGGTCGGCGTCCAGCCTCCCAGGACGCCGTGTATGCGCCCCGGTCGGCGTCCAGGCCCCCAGGACGCCGAGCAGACGCCCTGGTCGGCGTCCACCTGCTCGGCGCCCTCCAGCCGGGCGCCCACCAGCTCCACGCCCTTGCAGTGGCCCCCGTGCCCACTGCTGCAGGTCGGCTGCATCCCCCCGCACAACCGACCACGAGGTCGGCTCCGCCCAAGCGAGGACAGGGCCAAATACAACTCCCGTTGACAACGCGCACAGGAGCACGCACGCGTGGCAGAGCCCAGTGCGCGCGCTCGGCAACAGCCTCGCACGCACGTACGGCCCCGCGCGCACGCACGGCATGCGCCGCACGCACAGCAGCCGCCGCGTGCCCTGTCCGCTCTGCCAGCGCCCGGCCCCGTCCCATGCTGCGCCCTCCCCTGCCGCCAGCGCGCGAGGCCGCACGCACGCCACTGCGCGTGAGCAGAGCGTCCAGCAGCTTTACGCGCACGTACAGCTGCATACGCAATAGGAGCCGTGCGCGCAGCAGCAACAGATACGCACGCAGCTACCCGCGCACTAGGAGCCGCGCGTGCAGCAGCAGCAGCGACTGCTCGTACCTGGACAGTCCACCCCACTCCCTACCGCACAAGTCTTTACCCTACCGTGTTTGACCGCTCTCCACCGCACTCGAACGCATCGGACCACGCTAGACTGTACTCCAACCCACTTGTACATGCTATCTAGCACTAACTTACTACCATGGGCGTTCCTAGAGGCGGCTGGCAGCCGCAGTCCGAGATGACCAACCTCGATGTTCGTCAGGCATCTTCAAGACTTCGTGTTCACCAACTACTGAGGTTCTTAACAACAACGTCGCTATCTTCAGTCTTCAACAATACACTTATTATGTCTT